GGGTCCGGCGGTTCCGTTGACTTTCCACTGTACTTCCTGTCCTCATTAGCATGCCTCTTCACATGTTCGCCCGTCACACTTCACATCATCCAGTTAGGCCTCTTTATCTGGCCCTGCCTTTCACTGCCCTCCACCAAGGTCTGCACACAAAGTCAGCGCTGAGCCGTGCATGTGAACTAAGTCAAGATAAACTCCCAAAGCCCATTCTCAATGTTGCCCCCATTTTACCGACCTATTCATGCCTTCCCCCCAATTCACACAGCCTGCCTTATCCCCCCATTATCAGATTAAGTCTTCCCCAAGTCATCTAATTCTCTTAATCTCTACCTTATTCTGCTTTTGTTCTTCAGCGGCACACTTCATTTCATTTTTTTTCTCCAGGTCTGTTTACATTAAAGGAACCGTGTTAGGAGTAGAACCCTGTCATTGGTGTCATTTCACTTTTTTGCGAAGTCAAGCATGTATTCTAAAATTACAAGTTTGAGAAGTGTACATGATGGAGGTTACTTTTCTGAAAGTCAGCAGAAGTGACAGTGAAGTAAGCTGATTGACTCATGCAGCTGAATGCGCCATTATAGTGCCATCAGTTTTAACAACAGACAGAGCATGTCTATAACGTTACTGGTGGATGATGCTTCAAAAAAGTCTGTAAAACGTGTAAAGAGATAGCAACCAAATGCAGAGGACACAATTCTCTATGGTCGTGGATTTCGGAGGCAGATCCCCGTGAAAAACAGTAGCTATGTTTGCCAGCTTCGTTTGCCTCATTCTTTATCTTTTGACCAAATAGTGTCATCACATATATACACATCCATCCAAAAACACATTTCCTCCAAGTTGAGATGATGCCAACACAAAACAGCACATTCTGTGGGTGGTAGACGCAGCACTAATATTTAGAGTCTATGGACTAAAGAGGTGACATAGAGGGGACATTTCGGATTAGTAGATTAATTGCGATTCGGCTCTTGAAGAATTGAGAAAGGATTCACAAACATCCAAATTCCGATTATTTAAATATGCCAAGTAAAGCGGACCTAAAGTACAGTAAGTGAGGTCTTTGAAACACTACAAGGAATGGGCCGAGACCTTCTCCTTCCTCCCAAGTCCGCTGCGTGCCCGCACATAAAAACACACACACACACGTTACCCTCTAAGCTGCTGCACATTCCACACATCTTCCAACACTTGTACACATTGCAAAGAAAGCGATCCATGCTTGAGCTGGTTGGTAGCCTAGTGTAAACAGGAAGAAAAACTGAATATTAACACGGACCTGACAGAAGCGAGGCAACCAGTATGGGCCACTTCACCCTTCACCCGGAGGGTGAAGTGTTAAGGTTACACCCAATAGCTGGGTGACTGACAGCTCTTCAGTGTGTGGGCTGGGGCGGCGTCAAATTTAGCTATAAAATTGTCAAATCATATAATTTAAATTACTCTGTACATTAGCTGCCACAAAATTGCTACATGTACCAACATTGACAATACAGTCATTTTTAAAAAGTCATTTTAGATGGAGGTGTTAGTGTTGCCCACTAAACAAGTGCTGTTTTGAAAACTGACATCCGCTCAGCTACATGTAACGCACATGCAAGGATGTATTATTGTGAGAAAACATATACTGTATTGCAGTTTTTTTAACATAAGAACAACCAGCATGCAACATGTCAAACATGCCTCACCCAAAGTGAGATCACAGAAGCCCCACAGCGTCATCAGCATTTGCCATAGACAAGTGCGGTGGATACACTCTGACTGGGACTAAATTATTCATAGTGTCACATTCCTTCATGCCTCATTGGTGACGTCTGTCATCTGTGAAATAATTTTATACATGTTTGATGGTCCTTCAAGTAAGAAATGTCACTAAAAGTGAAAACAGTCCCAAAATGTCCCAAAATGGCATCATTTAAAATTTTAAAGCTGCAAGATCAAATGGCAAAATTCATCATCTTTGCATAACACCATCTCTGAATGCAGACTGCAGGAGTTTGAGAAAAACAGATATCAGTAAAGTATTAAGTAAGTCGAATTTGACTTGGACTTATCATTTCTATGTCAGAAAGACATATTCTAAAAGGCCCATTATATGTGACTGTAGTCTGTGAAAACAGTTGTGCACCATGATGATAGTAAATATTTTGTCACAGAATTCTCTCTCTGCCCATGGGTGTCTTTGTGCTACACACAGTACATGTCAGACCAGGGAATTATTTTCCACATTTATAATGACGAGTTGCATATGTCTGAAGTCAAGAAAAGTCTTTTGTGTAATAGTCTATGAAGACACAGCCCGGGGCCATCTTCTGATGGATGTGAGGAAAGAAACTAGGCCTGGGTACAACATGGCCCCATATGTTCTGCACTAAAAGACCCCCGTCAGAGAATGTGAATAATGCAAAACATGGAATGGCCCGTTCCACCAGTGCGTGGAGAAAGATGTCCACATTCAAAGACGTGCTCACACATGTTTGACCACAGAGGCATAGCCAAAACAACTACTGTATAAATGTTTCAGTTGCTAGACACCGGCATTCTGATCCTCTAAAAGTAAAAGGATGTCCTTTATTAGAATATTAGGTTATTTATTTCCCTTTTCTCTCAACAGAGCTGGACAATGTCCATGTTACATTTACTATCAAGTACATGATGTTAAGATTGTTGCTTTAAAGCAACAGTGCCTGCTGGAGGTGTCAAAGTTCATCTGAATAGAAAATAAAAACCATAATCAGACCAGTCACCCGTGACGTGTCAAGTGGATTAAGGAACATTTCCTGGAAAACAAGCAAGAGATTCTACTTAAATATGTTCGACAAATCATAATTTGATAACGTACTACAATAGACTGATCTATGTAATATTACCCCTTTCTCCCTTACTCTCTCACTTACCCCTTACTCCCTCTCTCGCCTCACCCACTATCTCACTCTCTCTCCCCAGTCACTGCTCTCCCCTTTTACCCTCTTGCCCACCCCGTCCCCTATCTCTCCCTCTCCCCTCTCTCCCTCTCCCTCCCCTGTCTCCCTTACCCCTCTATCGCACTCTCACCCTTTGCTGAAAACATCTTTCTGTGTGAAATAATCTTAAACAACTCCAATAGGAACTTTTCTACGGTGATCTTTAGAATGTGTTCTTTCTTGCTAATGCTAACACACAAGGCAAACAGAAGTAGTGATCAATACGTAGCAGTATTTAGTATCTCAGAACACTCAATCTCATAAAGCCCTCTCCACTTTATGTCCAGCTAAATTGGATTTAAATTGCCTCCTTCTTGTGAAGTTAGTAGAATACATCAGAGCAAAGTTAATGTGACCATGTCTAAACAACTGCCGGCCAAACGCATATGTATACTTCTCATCCACAGAAAATTGGGTTTTCCATGCATCATTTTTACCGTAAAAGAGGGAGTGTCAGCGCATTGTGTACATTGTGTGTGTGTGTGTGTATGCATATATGTAGGTCACTGTTAGTGCTTAATATTGTCATAAAATGTAGACGTTGTTTGTTATTTGATCTGTGTGGTGTTGTATTTTCCTACAATCAACAAACAAAGCTATAAAACACTGACTAATTACTCACTAATAAGAAAAAATATGATAAAATGTGGAGTAGTATGTCATGAAACAACAGATGTGCAATATAACGTGTCAACAGGTTAATGTTGAAAAAAAAAAAACGTTGTTTTGTGGCATCCAATGTTATTTGGAAAGGTTTGCTTCCAGTTTTATGCTAAAGTTCTCTTCTATCTTTTCACCTCATCTGCAAGTATTATTTTCTGAGGCAAGCCCCCCGCTGAAAGACCGAGGCTGTATCTCGTCGATGAAGGAGGAGCCATCATCCTGTGGACCCACCACCTGCAGGAGGATCAGCGAGGGACTGGTGCTGTGAGACTTGGGTGGCAGCTCTGATTGCCACCCCCAGCCCAGAAATGGACTAATAAAGGGGTAGATAATGACATGACATGATGACATCACCAACGCTCCAGCTCTGTGCTCAGTCCGTGTAATCTGTCGTCAGCTTTGTGTGGACGGACTCATTTAACGACCTAGTTCAAGATGTATGCGCAATTTGGTTTCAACACTAAGAGCTGTTTTGTCTCAGTGTGGACATGGCCATAGACTGGCATCTTCCAACAAATAAAAATCAACCCGTAAATGAAGCCTGATTTTAAACTAAACACGGTCAACTCAAAGTCCAAACTGGGGAAATCCAGATTCAACTGGACAAGGTTTATTTCAGAACATGAGTCTCCTTCACCGGCTCTCTGCCACGCCTTCCACCAGATGAGATACGAGGACCGCACTTATAATTACAAGAAAAGAAAGCAACGGATTGAGGCACATTCAAACATTTGAAAGACTTGGATCATTTATAAGTGCTCAGGTTGCGCATAATTATGTATTGCAGGGAAAGAACCTTTAAATATTTCCAGAAAATATTTCAACACAGTGAATTAAATCAACTTTAAAGCTAACTTCCACAAAGCTAACACCAATAAAAATGGAAATATGTAATGAAATCCATCTATTTCTAAAGTATTTGGTTCTATAACTAGTTTTGAATCCAAATTGTCAAATAAAATTGTAGAATAGTGACTCACAAAGCTCTTTGCAATTAAAATAAACGTTTTCAAATTAGATTAGAACAGCTTGGTCTGATTTGTTCACAACATTTTACTTTCAATAGACAAAACTGTAAAAGTAAAAAAACAAAACTGACACAAACTATTGACTATTATCTGTAAATTCTGTTACAGTTAGCCTGGCTTTAACCATGATAATGAATCTAAGCAGTCTTAAAAAAACATTATGGTTTCATGCTTCCTTTGCCATGTGTGCTTAAATGATGTGAAGATACTGAATAGATACAGGGATTTGATACGGTATACAGTATGACTCATTGAAATCGCATTCATTGACAGAAACTGTATCCACCAGCATCATGCTACGTATCACATCTACGCACACTCTAGAAGCAGTCGAAGCAGACTAAAGTACCTCTGTGATGAAAGCCTTGGCGGTGCTGGGGCTCATGAACAGCACGGCCCTCCTCAGCGTGTCTCTATAGCGGTGAAGCTCCTCCACCCTGAGCGTCCGGAACAGGCTGGTGATCATCATGTTTATGTTGGACTCCACTTTCTGCAGAGACACATCCATTCCCTGCTGCGAGGTGCGATCTAGAAAGTCCTCGATGCCACGGATATCTGAAGAAGAACAGATACAAGATTACAGGATTATCTCCTGACATGAAGGAATAGGCCCACGTCATTCTGAGCGCTATCGGAGCAAGCATCTCCTTCCATACGCCCCCATGGTATGTTTCACACACGATAAGACTTCATTTTGCATTCTGGGGTTTCATAGCTGGATGGTGAGGAGTACAGCGGGAGCAGGGGACGGCCTCGAACAGCGGTAAGTATTTATATAGCGGCTTTCACAGACCAGAGTCACAAATCACTCCAGAGATTGCCAGTACAGGAGGAGCATTGTATGTTTTTAGTGGTAGGGGAGAACATGCAAACTCCACTCAGAAAGATCCTGTTCCGACTGGGATTCGAACAAAGGACCTTCCTGCCATGCACTCAGCCACTGTGTTGCTCGTATTTGTATATACAGTTATTTATTTTTTGTATCAAGTATTGCACTACTATGGCCCATATCAGCTAGTACCCAGTCAGAATGGTTCTACAAGCATGTTGTGGGCCCCTGGGCAAGTTTGGTGAACTTCTCTAAACCCCTGACTTAGATTTTAGACTTTTATCTTGAGTTCATCTAAATCAGGGGTGTCAAACTCATTTTGGTTGAGGGCCCCAATAAAAAACATAAGAGCTGGTTGGGGCCAGAAGTATAATACGTTTTCCTTATAATAATTGTTATCTTTTTTATATATATATTTTGTTGGAAAAAGATCTGCTCAGTTACTGTGAATAAAGATAAATAGAAAATCATTTCAGGGGCCACTAAAATTGTCGCGCTGGCTGGATTTGTCCCACGGGCCTGAGTTTGACATGCTTGATCTAAATCTTGTTTTTCTGCTCATAAAAATGTAATTCTACATCGGAATCAAGCATGTTGTCTAAGTTGTAAGTTAAACCTGTGGAGAGGGAAGTCTTCTCAAACTTTTTTTAAAACACAGAGGCTATCCATTATTGATGAATGTGCTTTAGAACAAACTGAGTGGCCTTTAAAGCAAAGCGATGACGTCTCCGGTGCATGAAGCAGGTATCGGACCACTTCCCAAAAAGTGGGTCATCACCAGGACAATTGAGAAAAACGCCCTTCCATTCCAAATGCTGATAAAACAATAACAATGTCAGAACAAGATTATTGAATGCAAATATGTACTAAAGTAGTTGGTCTGCCATTTCATCTGAAGTCCACCTTTTTGCATCCCCTTACTAAGCACTTTTTTCATCCACACGAGAAATGACTAATGCATAGAAATACTAACATTATGGGAACTTATATTGAAACTTAACAAACGTCTGTACACGGCTGACTTTCTGCACACAGCTGACTTTGTTTCATGCTCTTATTCCACACAGTTATATTATTTTCCCTTCAGTCCATGAATTGTCAATTTTTTGGACTCCCAGAAACTTGAGGCAGTCTAATCCTTGGCCTTTGATGATGATTTGCTCTGCTGGTTTCCTCCTCCGCCTCAAACCTATCACAACGTTATTACTTTCACCGTGTAATTATCCACATTTAGAAGACCGTACACTTATGAGGTTATTCAATTAAGATGAGTATTCCAAAACACATAGAGACACAGAACAAAAGAACAGACACACATAGACCATAGACTGTCAATAATAAAGACATGCCTGTTTCCAAAAGATTTTCAGACCACAATATACGAGTCAGTAGTCAGTAGTTTGGTTTCATCCCCCTAGATCATGGGTGTCAAAGTCAAGGCCCGGGGGCCAGATCCGGCCCGCGAGACAATTTTTTGTTGCCCCTAAAATTATTTGTCATTATTAATAACCAGCAGGAAAACAACCAAATTTAAAGTATTCTAACATTTTCAATCCAATAACACAGCCTTAGAAGTTAAATAGCTTAATATCAAATGTTTTTAGTTTATATTTGATCCAGTTTTGGTTCAATCTAAACAATAAATACATTTTGTTTTCAGAAAAATAAACCAGAAAAAAACAGTGAAACTCATAAACTCACCAACTATGAAAAGAAAAGGAAATCTCTTCTACTGTTTCGGCCTCAAACAGTTCCTATTTTTTTTAAATCGGCCCCTGACCAAAAAGAGTTGGACACCCCTGCCCTAGATTCAACAACAGTATTATAATTACGACAGGGGTAGGGCAACTGGGAAAATGCAATGGTATCATTCTGTAAATGTGTACATATTCACAGATATAGTTATTCCTGAGTACCTATAGCCATTTTATTCTAGTCTCTCAATAGTATCGTATTATTAATATTATTCTTATTTCCAGGTTGTTTACTTTATTGTTATTTTTTGTGGAATACTTTGCAAGCTGCGGTGACATCGCAATTTCCCTTGTGGATCAATAAAGTCTGTCTAAGTCTAAGTCAATGAGGATGGAATCATTGTCCTCTACCATACCCAACCAAAGCTCTAGTACAGTCTTGTTCAGACAACGCAATAATTCACTTTAATGAGCTGCACTAGGACTGAAAAACTTGCACTGCTATAGTCACTTTTAATCTTATTGCACATAATATATCTTGCACAAATGAGGCTATATTTTAACCTTTTCAACTTGTTCTGTCTATGCCATGTTCTATCTATGCCATGTGTACATTTTTCCATTGTGAGATCAGTAAAGTTCATCTCATCTTATTTAGTCTATTGGATCTGGGTTACGGATCAAACTTAACCAGAAATGCAAGCGGATGTTTGACAGTGTGGAAGTGTTAATGAGCTCCGCACAGGTCAAGGTAATCTTAATGAAGTCACTTGGTTTGAGAGCAGAGCTAATGACGTGTGCGAGAAGGCTGTTTCTACTTAATGATCAATTTGATATGGAAAAAGCGAGTCTCTGCCATCGTTGTGAGTACCATGTTTTGGCAATTAACTGGATTGATTAGACTTGTGAGGGCCAAGAGGGCAAAGGTGAGTCGCCGTCTCTATCAAAGTTGAGATTTACCAGTTAAGACATGAGAAAATTGTGTAATCTTGATTAAGTGTTTGATTTTTGTTCTGTGTTAGACTAGTTAACAAGTGAATAAAAGAATTGCAAATAATAGATTTTTGAAACAGTAAACTTATTTAATAATGTATTAATTGTTTTTTAGCTGTACATAAACAACTTAAACATGCTGAGAAGAGGTTTTATGACACAGATACCTCTATAATGTCTGCAGATGGCATGATAGTTGACTGGGTTTGTGTGGTTCTGAACGGTCTAGCCAGACCAGCCTGAACCACATAATGAAAAAAATAAATTGAGTTAAAAAAAAAATAATAATAAAAATACACACACACAACAAATCAAGTCAAATATAACGGAAATGTCTGACTAAAAACAGTGTACCTTACCTATAAATCAACAGGGTAAATACAGACTCAAGTTTTCAGAACAACTACAAACAAAGGGGAGGTTACAGGTCAGAAGTTGCTCAAAGAGCATGGACCAAATACTCTACTCAAATTCAGATTCATGGATGTTTGCAGTTTTGTTCTGACACCATAAATCTAACACCATGTGAGGTAAAGTAAGATATATCCCTTACTTGTGAGACGCATTTTCTTTGAGGGATTTTACCCATGTTTATAATCAATCATAAATGCTGGCAGCTTAGGTTAATTACAACACAACACTTTCATCAGTGTAATAAAGACCTGCTAATGGCTTTTATTCATTATTAGAATAACCTGCGTGATGGCAGGTTGGACTCAATGTGTGTAGTACATGACGTGGCTGTATGATGACAGACACAGCGATTATCTTGAGAATAGATAATAGGAGCAGCTCTTAAAAAGGTTCAAAGGTTGGAGCTCTCTGGTCAACTATATTCAGAACTGGTGCACTGTAGACCCATACGTACACACAGAGCATAGATGTACTGTATATTGTTCTCTGGTTCCTGACCCGGGCCACAGTATGCCTCTGAGCCGTCTCAAACTGCAGGCTATTGATTTATCTACTCGTATATAAATCAATATACGAGTAGATAAATTGTAGTGTTGTGTTTCCGACTCACCCCCTCCCTGACCCCGCCCCCCTCTGACAGCCACATTGGCCGGCTGTCGGAGGTGCTCATCCCGAGAAAAAAATCCGTGCTTTATACAAAGCACAATGTGTCTATCCAACTGTCTGTGTAATCTGTATGTTATTGCTCTCTGCTGTTTATTCTACTGTTTGTTGCATGGCGCCGTAAAGATGGCGCCGTGGCAAGAGCTCTGGTGTGTGTCGTCTTCTCTGTCTGGTGCACACCGGGGTAGTCTTGCACAGTTTTTCCAATGTGGTTTTACTGCAAATGGCAAATAAATGAATCTGAATCTGTATGTGTTGTAAAAAGTCCCAAATACCAATTTGCACCATTATAGTATATGTTTTTTTTTTTTTTTTTTGACACCAATAGAAGAAAAGTATACAGTACAAATCACAATCATTACTTCATAATATATAAGTAAAAAATATAAATAATCTGTTTTAATACATATTGTTTACTATAATGTTCAGGATACCACAAGTTTGTGATGAATTAATTTTTTGTTATTTTGTCATGCTCATGCTTGAAATAAATTATTCATTCACAAAGAATGTCAGAATTAAAAATTCAGTATTAAAACGCAATCATACACACAGTTAAATGGAGCTGCTTGGATTGAAATAACGAGGTTCTAGATACAAGGGGAATAAAATGCTGAAATGCTGCCCTCCCATGTTTAGTCCAGTGGACATGCTCACAATACCACTCTGGGCCGGTGGGTGTGGACCCGGAGTAAGAATTAGTCAAAGCTAATACATACTATCTTCTTGCCTCTTAAAAACAGTTTTACAGGTCCAAGAGTTGGCTCTTGGCCCAACGCTACGTTCCACATGTGTGTCAATGCTGAGGAGAGTATTTTTCTGGATCATTCCAGTTTAGTCGCTGTAGAATTTTGAAGGCACTCGTCAAATGAATGGGGCTTTTGTGGATGATGCATGCGTAAATACGTTTTTCATTTTTCAGCCCCTGCGGCCATTTTAAAACTGCCCACAGATGGCAAAAGTGATGGCACATTAGTTTCAACGGCGGACATAGGCGTGACTACGTCTGTTAATATTCACAGTCAATGGTTTAGTCCTGGCTCTGGGAACTGACAGTAGGCAAATACATTTTATTTACAGTTTAATATTGACTTAATTTATGTTGTTTGCTCCTCATTCGTACGGATCTCTGCTATTATTATTGACCTTTATTTAATATCCCCATTATGGGGAAAATAAAGAATCATCTGATCTTAATCTTAGATCACACATCACTAATGATTGATGCAATGTGTTACCTGCACATATGTTTCCTTGTATAAAATAACAGAGAATTTTCCCTCCACTGTTTGTTTCATGTGCACACAGACCCAGAAATAGCCATGCACACACATACATGCATACTGTACATACATAAATACATACATACATACCTAGGCAACATCTTCAAATACGTTTTATATTCGCCCCTCACTGTGCAGAAAGCAAGCACTCCAAGCATTTACAAATACTGTCACTTTCCATTAGGGCTTGTATGCGTGCGCTACTTGACGTCCTCGGGGAAGTGTAAGCTAAAAGAAATCTTAACATCATCTTAATTTGTCTCCAACTCCACTCAAATTATTCTGATATTGTTTACCAGTGAGGGGAACAGTAACACTTGGGATAAAAGCCATTGTGCACCTCTATATTTAAGAAAACTTTGACACAATACATGGCACAGCTTCATACAGACTGCATAAAGTGCTTTTTCATTACGTTCGCATTTACCCAGACACTTTTGTTTGGGAACCGTTCTAATCCAGCCCCTTTTATAGTCGAAGGAAAACAATAACATGTCCATTTGCCAGCTTTATTTTGGCAAGACTAGAGTGATTAATCAAATAGAAGGCATGCTCAGGTTGGGATTGGCGTGCTATCTATAAAGGCCCTATAACAGAGATGTATGACTGCTTACTCGCACGACTCCCACACATAAAACACAGCAGTCCCAGCAAATTTAGCTTTCTCTCTCATCTCCATATTTATCACAGCGAAAGGCACAGCCACCGCTGATCAATGGTGCCAGGCTAAATAAGCATCCTACACTGTCAAATTTATGTTCTCTGTGTTTCGTCCGCAGGGAGAAAAAAATAAATTCAAAGGAAAAAAAAAAAACATTGAACGGTTCAAAAGGTTTTTACACATGTACAGTGTGCAGCGGATTCCGGAAATTTACTTGCACAAACAGTACAGGAGAGTTTTAAGGCTGGGTTTACATGGAAACTCTGAAAAAAGGTTGGGGGTGGGGGGGGCGGGACCTGCATAGATTATAACACAAAAGAAGAGTATATGAAGTATACTTTC